CGTCTTTCATTTGGACAGTGAGTTGTTTTTATAATAATAAGTTAAGTCAAGAATAATAATGGAATTGGAGGAGCTTGCTAGGATAGCTTGGTAAGCAAGCAAGTAGTTATGTAGGCGCCAACTCCAAGTTCTTTCTTTTCTTTCTTTTTTAGTTTAGTGACAATTCATCAAAAGAATTGTCCAAGATTGCTAGATCGAGCACGCGTCGCGCATAGTCTTAAGTCCAAGAGCAGGTTGTATCCTCGTCAACATTTCTGCTATTGCTTTATCTTCCTCTTCTCAGAGATCTCCTTGTTCTCTTCCCAGATTTGACTCCATATCTTCGCCGCTTTCTTCATAATCTTGTTCCATCTTTAGGGATGTTGTCTCGTTGTCTAATAGTTTGTTGGATAGGAGAGTTTGGATTGGTGATCCTTCAGGTGTCTTTTCTTGCAAGTCTTATGTTCAATCCCTAATTGATGATGCTTCTCTACCATTATTTCATCTATCTTCCAATATTTGGAATGTTAGTGTTCCTCTAAAGATGCAAGCTTGTGCATGGTTAATCACTTATGAGTTATGATAAGATTAATACTAAAGATGTGTTTCAAAGAAGATCTAAGACTTGTCTTTCACCTCAGTAGTGTGTTATGTGTAGAGGGGATGGTGAGAGTGTGGATCATCTATTCTTGCTTTTATATCATTATGGAATAAACTGCTTTAGTTAGTTGGTTTTTCTTGGGCAGCTCCCAGATCTATAGTATCTATGATTTGCTTGGACTTTATGGATTTGGGAGGAATTAGAAGAGGGAAGGCTTTTTGGCAATGTGTTCTCTTTGCAACAATTTGGGTTTTATGGATGGAGAGAAGTACGAGATCTTTGAAGATAAATGGGAGGAAGTTGAGGGCTTATGAGATCGGCTTTATTTCTTGGCATCTTTTTGGGCATCAATGACAAAAGACTTTGATTTATTCCTCTATTTAGTATCACGACAAGTTGGACTGCATCATGTGGATTTTAATGTGGCTCCATTTTTCATGCCTTTTATTTTCTATCTTTTTGTTTTACTAATCATTTGGTTGAATGACTTGTCCACTTTTGTTTGGTCCTTGTAACACTATTATTATTCCAATTTTAATAAAATTGGTGTTTCTCATTGAAAAAAAAAAGATAAAAAAATATAGAAGTTTGAGTGAGACTTATTTGTATTTCCAATAGATACAAGAGCAATGTATTTGGTTAGTGGATTGATTGATTTGTTTGAGTTTAATGCCCTATTGTTGTTTTTTTTTTTTTTGTTTGCCCTTGGATGGCATATTGGCATCCAATTCTGAGTTGGACTTCTTGTCCGCCTATATTGGTTTTGTAACTTCTTGCTTTTATTATTTAATAAAACTATTGTTTCTTATTGAAAAAAAAAAAAAAATTCTGGCTCCATTCCACTCAATTCTCCTCAACCAAGCTTTATCCCTTACTTTGTTATAAATCATTGGTATTATTTGGACCAACCAAACTATTGTTCATGTTCTCTATTTCAACAAGTTTGAATCAATTTTCTTTGTTTTTATTTAAATGCTGTTAATGTTGATTGATTGATTTATGATTTTTAAAATCAACTGCATCATAATAAAGTGACATGATGTTTATATCCTGAGTAATTGGTCATATCGACGACTTGTCCAAAAGTAAATGAAAATTGGTCAATTCATGAATCCATGTCTCTGATTCTCTTGTATTGGCCTGCTGATAAAAAAACTAGTGTATTGGTCTAATGCCAAATCTTTGGCTGATCAAATACAAATAACATGAGGTCCAATGTCTTTCCCAAGTGGTTATTCATTTTAGATAATTAAACCAGTTTCATGGCCGTTGGACAAAAATAAGATTAGGGTTTGTGGTTTGCTTTACTTGTTTTATACTCATCATTGAAAGACACTTGTCACACAACGTGTGTCTATCTCCTTTTCCCTACAGTATTTTTTCTTTTTGCCTTGTCTTTTGCTGTTAGTTTTAACTTGGAAGAAATGCATATTAGGTTCCATCACATAAACAAATAAATTAATATTTTAGAAGTAATCATTTTTTTATGTTCTTTGTAATTGTGCAACTTTCTCATCACCTTTTACAATTTTGGGGTTGCGCTTTATGTTTTATATCTATTTGTTTCTTGGGGTCAATTGTACAAACTAGGAAAAATATTCGCATTTTTACGAACTCTATATTATTGGCACTCTAAAATTTGCTTATGACACCCCATCCCCTACTCATGATAGTGTAAAATTTACATTGACCCAGTGTTGTAAAAAACGAGCCTAGATGAGAAGCAAGCGAGGCAACCCAATCGCCTTGAACATGCCAGGTGAAGCGAATGTAGGTGAGGCGAGAGAAAAGCGAACAAAAGCAAAGAAGCGAAAAAAGTGAATAAGTGATCGCTTTAGAGAACTTTTTTATTCTATGTCCTCTGACTCGTCTCCACCTCTTCTAATTCTTCTCCTCTTCTTATGATTTTCTGATTCTGTTGGAACCTCATCCTCTTTTACTCTGATTCTGTTTCTGTTTTTGTTTTTTTTTTGTGTTGCTGTGATGCTAATTCTACTTTCTCCTCTTCTACTCTGTTTCTATTTTTTTTTTGTCTACTTCTTCCTCTTCTACCATGTTTCTGTTGATTCTGCTGTGATTCTGATTATGTTTTTAGTTCTGTTGAAACCTCCCCATCTGCTTCTGTTGTGATTTTCTACTTTGTTATGACTGGGTTTCTGCACTTGTTGCTTAGACTGATTCAGCATTGTTTGTTATTAGACTGCTCTTGTTTGATTCTGTTGTTTTGTTATGCTTAGTTCAATTGCTTCACTCGAAAAGGACTAATTTAGGAGAAAGTCATAATTTTTGTTGCTGCTTTCTATTTGTAACGGAAAGGATTTACTTTGTGATGGTTGAGTACTAATGATCAGATTTTTCATTTGTGATGGTTTAGGTATAAAATATTTGCTTGTTTTTTTATTATTTACTTTGCTTTGATGTAGTGCTCACTTCGCCTCTCGCTACTCGACTAGGTTTTAGAAGACTTGTTCGCTTCGGTTCTCTTCACACATTAAATAACACTGGATTGACTTTAGCTTGTTGACCCTTTAACCATGAGCATTTGGGTATGAGAGCCTTGGTGGGCTAATTGAGTATTACAACAAAAATTTTGATGTATTCTTTCATTTGTGGCACCTTAAAGAGATGTTAGAGGCTAGTGTGGCCATATATTTTTATGCCAGCTGATGGAATTTTGATTTATTTTCTTGTAAAAGATTTATCTCATAATACAAAGTGCTTTCCTCCTTTTGCCAACTTTTGCACTGGATGGGAATTGCTGTTGAGTCAATTACCTTATGGGGTGATTGATTTCTAGCAATTATGCTCTGTGTACTCGGTATTCACGAGATGTAGGACTTAAGTCCGTTGTTGTCCATTTAGGGTGAGTGTTACCAAAGATGTCACTGCAATTCATGTTATTTTTAATATAGTTTGTGTTGTTTAGTCATTAGTGTTTGTTAAATGCATTCTAGTTTTCGGTGGGGGTGAATGTGTTGCAATGTACTCATTTACGTGTACAAAATATGTTATAGTTGGTTCAGGTGTTTTTAGTTATTGTATGCAATTTAGTTTGCATTCTGTGTGTGTGAAAGAGCTTCTGTGCAAGTGAAAGGGCTTCTGTGTAACGCATTTTCTTTGTTCAATAGGGGTCTAGACTGATTCAGTCACCCCTTTAAGTTTTCAAATTACTTTTTGGATGCATTGTATTTACGCTGTAGAGTGTATGATCTGCATGCCAGCTCTGAAAGCAGTTTTCATCAACCATCTCAAGTTTTGCCACACTTTTTAAGCCTGGCGGCACAAAGGATTTCTGATGCGGGATCTCAACTTCCAATACAATCATGATATCTGAATAGGTTATCAGAAGGGAATAGTCTTTTGGATTTCAGGGACAAGGTTAGGGAACAAATTGGGTTGGTTGGGGCTGAGAGTGAAGTGGAAGAGGATGTCTATTTGAGTATTTCAGTGACTATTCCAGCAGTGTAAACTGTACCAGTGAACATTAGTCTACTTTTGGTGAGTTGTGTTTTGAGCTTGAAAGGAGAGACTTGCAGGTCTCATTGCTGGTTTAGAGAGCTGAGATTAAGAGATAGAGGAGGAGGGAGTGGTAACCCTAGGAGTCATACTTGATTCTTAGGACTCATATCTAAGATATAATGCCTCACACATCATAATATATCTTCTTAAAATAGTTTTTCTTTCCATTCCTAAAACAAAGTCGAGAAGTGTATGGGGTCTTAGGCCTTGGGCTTTGATTTTTGTATCTTGTTTAAATGTTTGGACCTCCTAAAACTTTCAATCTGGCCCAAATTTGTAACTAAGTTCTCAATACAAATGGCCCAATATGGCATCCCATTTTACACCCAACCAGAAGGCTAAAATACCCTTAAAATAAAAAAGAAAAAGCATTTGAACTTCGTGAAATTAATATCATCAGCAAGTTCATATTAGAATTCTGCCAAACAGCAGTGGCTGTTTGATTCAGGTTCCCCTTTCTCTTTTAATGTTTCTTTCCAGCCTCCTGGAATTTCATTAGCATCACTTTTTTGTTTCACTCAGGCACACTTGGGCATAAGATGAAAAACTGTCTCATTGTTGTGATTTAGAGTGGTAGACTATTAATATTAGAACACAACTTGTTTTTAAACGTCTTTTACTGTTGTAGGGGTTTTAGCTCATCGAATGGAACGGAACCTGTAGCTGAGATTAGAATACCACATGAGAACAACATGTTTATCAGTTTCAAAATTCTATTGCTTTCTATATTTCTGCTCTTTTACTGGCTTGAAGTTAGCATCAAGATCATGGTTGAGTTGTTCTAGATGGTTCAGTGAGCTTTTTTTCCATTGAAACAGTACTTTGTGTTACTAAGGTGCAGTTTCTGAGGTATATTGTGGTTACCATTCATGTAGCAGGTTTTCAGACAGTTCCTATTTTCATGCAGAGTGGCGTTCCTGAGAAACACGAGAAATCAGTGCCTCCGGTTGATTTAGTGAGCAACATTGTAAAGGATTCGCCTCACAAGGTATGCATGTGAAACCATAAATTATAATTCTTACGTATCACTTCAAAACTCTCCTGGGATGATGTGTCTGCGTTACAGGAGATAATTTGAGCTTAAATTTTTGTCATCTTTCTTCACGCATTGACTTATTTCCTTGTAGCACAGGTTGCTCATCTGTTTATATAATAATAACTTCCACTGAGATACACCACAGTTGCCTGTGTGTTTCTTTATAGTCTTTTTGATGTTATTTTTAAATGAGTCCCACAATGTGACTTGTGGATAGTGTATTTTTACATGATTTGATTTCTTATCCACCGTCTTTGTACTTTTTTCTGCCATTGAGAAAATTTTCATTTTTTATCCCAGAAAAAATGAAATTGCTCCCATAATTCCTTTACACTGATACTAATAATACTAATAAAGCTGCCTTTGCATTAATGAGTGATATTTATGTTTATATTTCAGAAAACTATCATGTATAATATTTGTTTGATGCTTCTATAGAACCAATTTATTTCCTACGTTTCAGTATTTTCATTCATACCCTGTTTTCTGTTGCTGTGAGATGTAGTACTTCCAAGTCTTTGGCATGAAACTTTCTGGTTGTGCTTCTTCATATTGAAATTTACTTCTATTTTCTGTTTACACTTAAAAATCAAAATCCATTCTATAATATCTTGATGGATGGTGACTCTTCTTTACACTCCTGGTTTATATAATCAGCCAGCATTTGAGACTCCAACAAATGGGAAGCAATTGATCTTCTGACTACTCTTAAGAGAAGATTTTATTTTATTTTCACTCTCAATGGTGAGCCTGGGGATGGATTTGCATCAATCTACATGCCCTTAGGCTCTGTTAAGTGAGATCCAAGATAGACAGATAATAGGCTGACCTATGCTATGCATAGGAAGGGGCACATTAGTTATGTCTTTTATGTTGGGAGAATGAGTTGATTGTTTTTGTACATTTGTTCAAGATTGTACCAACACGTATATATTATGGAACCAGCTTTTTTCGGACTTCAGCAATTTGTCCTATGATCAGTGGAGATGACGTTTTCCTATTTTATGGAGGTGGGGCAGGGTCTGTTTGAAGTTGTGCACAAAGCACTTTCATGTACAAACCTTTGTATTCTGCATTCATATTGGTTGTGTTGCTGGGCCTATTGATAGCTTTGAAATTCATCATGGTATGGCATATCCCCATTTCTTTTCTGCAAATTCTCATACATAGAACTTTTTAGGAATCGAAAGTACGGAGATTGTTTTATCTCATTGCACAAATATATTGCATTTACATTCTTCTTGTTGCGTTTTGTTTGCTGGATAGTTTTTTTGCTCTTTTTTCTTTTTAAAAACTAGTATACTCACTGTTTCTGCAGATTTTCATTGGTGGGATTTCGAATGTTATTTCATCAGAAATGGTAAAATATTTGTTCTTCACAGCATTGCCTGGTATAGTAGCATTCTCTGTTTTGATTCTCATTCGTATATATAGTGATTAAACTCATGCTGGGTTTCAGCTTATGGAGATTGCTAGTGCGTTTGGACGTTTGAAGGCGTATTGCTTTGAAGTTAATGCAGATCATAACATACCATGTGCTTTTCTTGAGGTACCATTAAGTTACTTTGTTGACTTTTGCTAACTGGGAATTTTTTATGATTGACGTAGAAATTCCATCCAATAATGAATACTTGGGCCCTTGAGCATGTCTCCCCTCCACTGTACTTATCATTCAGTTCAATGCTTCCATCAAAAGCCGAGTAGAAACTGAATTGTACCATCAGAAGATTAGAAAATCATGACATATCTTTTGCTTTTTTATTTTTGTTTCTATATTTTTTTCTGTAGTGCAGACACAACCCTGCCACATGATGAGATTTTTCGGTTTCATGCAAAAGCATTATGAGAATCTGAGATGATGCCTCTCTCATTGTCATATTCTGGGCTTTCAACTTATGTGCCCTCAGTATGTTTATCCACCTGAAATTCATCAAGTCCAATGCGTTTTCTTGGCACTTAAAGCAATAAAATTTCAATTAAGCTACTTTGTTATATGCCTGAATTATAAGTAGACATTATTGACAACCTCATCTCTCCTCATAATCCAACAATGCTGGAGAATAATTTTGCCGTCTGGCTTTGGTGCCACATTTTTTTAAGATTGTTCAATGCTCCTCAACTCCTGCTCATAGAATAATCTTTGTAACTGTTCTTTGTCTTCCCTTAAAATGGCTACAAAGTCTAACCTAACCTGCTGCGGCCTTCTTTCACAAGTCTGATAGATGGAATACTGCACTATTTACAATTTTCCTTCTTCCCCCCCGCTCTCCACCCTATCTATCGCCATTTCTACTTGGTTTAAGGCATTGGCTTAGAAATTTTATCACCCTTCTTGGGTGCCACAAGGCCCTGGACAATTCTCTACAATTGATGTCTACCAGTGGAGTCATCTTTCCAAGTTTGCTTGTCACGTCCTCTTCTGACTGATACCACAAATTATGTACAGAGGGCACAAAAGTGTCAATTAGGTGGTTAGTTTAATTGAGGAATAAATTTACTTGTTACTGAGGTATGTAATTTGAATGTGTTCTCTCCCTTATAAACTAAAGTTGCTTTCACTATAATGTTATCTCATGAAAAATGCCCAATCTTTATGCGGCCTGGTCAACAAGAAACTGTTGGATCTGAATTTGATCTTTGTTCTTCCCTTTGTGTTGTTCCTTTCTTCATGTTGTTTGGATGTTCTTCACTATTCTATTGACTTTTTCAAATATTCTCTTTTCCTTCTTATCTTGATCTGGTCACTAATTTTTTGTGCTGTTTCAGTACGTTGACCAGTCAGTTACTCCAAAGGTGTGTGCGGGTCTTAATGGTCTGAGGTTGGGAGGACAAGTGCTGACTGTAGTCCAAGCTACTCCGGATGCTTCATCAGTGGTACCTTGTGTCTTCTCTTTACCTTACGTGACTGGATTTGAGGAAAGAGTTCCTCTTATCCATGATTTCTCTTCTTTTTAGAGTTGTTACTTAATTCAATGTGCCACTTATATGCTAGGAAAATATTGGAAACCCACCTTTCCATGGGATCCCTGAGCATGCAAAACCACTTCTCGAGAAGGCCACAAGAGTTCTCAAGCTCAAAAATGTGGTATGATTCTTTGGTTTTATTCTAGTACTCATTTTGGCTGCTATCGTAGCGTTTCCTCCTCCATCATGTTCAAGTACTTTTTCATTGCCCATTTTGATTAAGCATTTTCTCATCTTATAGTTGGATCCCGAGAAGCTTGTCTCACTGTCAGAAACGGAACTGGAAGAAATAGTGGAAGATATAAGGCTAGAGTGTGCCAGGTCTACATAAATAACTGTCCTTTTAAGTTCCCAAACCCTTCACCCTTTACCCTTGCCCCTTCTTTTTGGTTGTGTCTTGAAAGATTGTTTTCTTCCTTCCTACCAATATTGCAGGTTTGGCTCTGTTATGTCTGTTAATCTTGTCAAGGGCAGCAACTATTGTACCACCCCAGAAACGCTTGAGCCCTTTGACTATTCTGGTCCTGCCATGGACGGGCAAGACCTGGAGTGTGATGACAAGAACAAGAAAATAGAAAATTTGGAAGGTTTCAATTGTGACGTCGGCAAAGTTGGAAATTCAGAGTCTTCAATTATTGCCAAAGAACCTGAAGAGGCGTATGAAGCTATGGAAGGTGACCATGCAAGTGATAAACCTGGTGCATCAGGGGCTCCAAGTTCAAACAGAGCTAGAGAACCTGAAGAAGATAATAAAAATGTTGAAGGTAAAAGCAATTATGATGATCAAATTGCAGACAATCTTCTAAAAGATGAAGTGTGTGAACCAACTCCGGTTGATAGGGATGAGGAAGTTGAAGAACCAACCTGCCAGTACAATTCCAGTGCCATTTCTGGAGAATTCCCCAACAAGACGAACACTTTGATGGATCAAGGGGGATGCCATGATGACAAGGTTGCTACTAGTGAAATTTGGGACATTGAGACGCATGTGAAATTATCAGTTAAAGAAGAGTTAAAATTGGAGGAAGATAACGAAAAGTTAGAGGAAGCAGCTTCTAAACTGGATTCTAGTGTGCGAATTGAATTAGATGCTCTTGAGAAAGTTGAAAATAAGGAATATGTTTCTGATTTAGGGGATGTTTTTGAGCCTGGTTGTATCCTAGTGGAGTATAGAAGAGCAGAAGCTTCTTGCATGGCAGCACATTGTTTGCATGGACAACTTTTTGATGACCAGATCGTGACAGTGGCGTATGTTGATCATGATCTTTACAGGGCAAGGTTTCCTAAATGAATTTGTTTCGATGTTACAACTGGTGATATAATTATACTGGGTTCTGATATTGTAGACTTTTTACTGGATGAATATCCCAGATTTTGGAGATTCTCATATTCGTTCCAGCACAAGTCTGGCAGCTAGAAGAGCTGGAACGCCATTTGAAAGAATCATTATTTCCAGGTTTCAAAGCT